GAGTTGGGGTGCTGCTGCACGTGCGCACGTGCAGGGGTCGTTTCCAGATCTCGAGAACGGCTCGACCGATTGCGCTCAAATTTGGTACACAGTTAGGGACCGGTTAGTAGGGTGCCGTGCACAAGTCAGTTGGGACCCATTTTGCACGTGCGCACGTGCAGGGTGCCGCTTCCAGATCTCGAGAACGGCTGGGCCGATTGTGCCCAAATTTGGCACGTCGGTAGAAACCGGTTAGTAGGGTGCCGTGCACAAGTCAGTTGGAGGTACCCCCTCACAATTTCGCACGTGCAAGGCCCACCCTCTCGCTCGCTCCGTTAGTCGCCCCAAAAGGCGTTATACTGGTGTAAGTACTTACTTGGTAGAAATTAATAGGTATGTACATTGTAATGTTTTGTTTAACCCACATAAAGCACGAACATGAAACGATGCCCATCGCTGACGAATGCGAATGAAATATTCGGCCATAAAGGAGAGGGTGGAGGGCCGGAGGCATGCACATTGAACAAGTCCAGACAGTGGGACAGTGTCAACAGTAAACACCTTGAAAAACGTTTGACTTAATAACAATGCTCCAACAAGCTCAGTTTGTAAGCGAGAAGTCTCTGCCTGCTTTCAAATAGCCGCCGAGATTGAATGAATATCGCCGAATTTGGTTGCTGCTGTTCTAAATGTCGTGCGGCCGTTTCCAATTACCACCGGCATCACCGAAATACAATGCGGATACGCCGAAACCGGGCGTCTTTTGCTGCTGCGCCGAAATTAAATGCTCTAATGCCGATCATCGCTATAAACGGCCGACATGCAATGCTATACTGATACATAGCTTTGCGGTTTGTCTACAAATAATCCGCTAGGTCTAAAATGGACGCGTACGTACCGAAATAAACTGACAAAAGGTGTAGCTTCACCAGTCTCCAGGGAGGCCGGCAGCGCGGCACGAGACGAGAGGCCGGGCCGGCACGGAGCGCGGCAGTGACGTCACCGGGAAATGCCCCGTCATCGTGACGTCACCACAGGATCCGGAGCGCTGTTCGGCAGCCGGCTATTTTGTGTGCAGGGTATGACGTATTTCGCGAGCCGACGTCACAGGCGGTGACGTCGGCTCGCGCGCGAGCCGAGCGCCAACGACAAACTAACGGGAACCCTCGGACACCCTCCGGGCATAAACCGCGGAGTAGCATATTGAGCGAGTCTTATAAGGAAAGTTCATATATTTTCGTTTCTCAAATGATAATCAGGGTGTCTCTTACCTTTTTACACATCATTTAGGCTTACCTAACACTTCAGTTGCCAAATATCTGCAATTTATTCAAACGAAGGTATTTTCGGTAAATATCAATGGTATAGACCGAAATCTTTTGAATAAAAACTCCAACCAACAGAAATAAAAATAACCTAATTTATTTCAACCATTTCCTCCGAATTAACAACATAAAAACTCACTTTTACACACATCATTCATAATAAAGCATACTAACACGCCGCTTTTGACAATTGCGGCGTCGAGTGGCGCGCTGCTAGCGCTCTTTTTCGATCGCAGAGACCCTGCACGCGCGCGAGCACACTACGTCACGTCCGGGGGGCACAGGTATATGAAAAATCGCAGTGACGTAACACTTTTCTCGCTTCTCATTGGTCAATAGCCCGTTGCCGGGGTAACGTGCACGTATGTGAGCGCGGGCAAGAGTACTAGCCGGCCGCCGATCAGGGCTCGGGCCGGGCCGGGCGGAGGAGGGTGGTGAGCGAGCGTCTTCGGTCAGAGCTAGACTGGGAGGTGGACGAGTGAGAAACTCGGGGTTTTTTGAAGGCGTGTTAGCCTGTCAGTAAGGTATGCCCGTGATATGCTACGTGCAGCTTAGGTGACGGATCAAAATCAGAATGCATCGTAATGCGCTCATTGAATTCCCATTCAACAAGTCAGATATGTATGTAAGAGGCATTGCTTTGCAGCAAAATGAAAAGCTGATCGAAAAGCTTTTTTCTGCATCATCGACGAATTCCTAAGCTTGTCATTTACCGGCGCAGTAGCCGCGCCACTGTTCAGACTACATCACGCAATGGCCATGCTATCAGAAACTCTATTACCTACAAGGGCCAGAAAGTCCAATCTCTTGTCACGAAAACTCAGCAAAAAATCCGATATCGCCGGACTCAATATCTGACACTAAGATTTAGATGAAAACTTCCGCCTCATGGAGGGTGAACGTTATCGCTTGAAGCCAGACCTCCCAGACAAGCACCAAATAACGAACATTAAAGAATGCCGACTCTCTCAGTTCAGAGCCCAATTAAAAGCATTACAGAAAGCCAACTGTCTCATTTATCACCAAATAGCGAGCGCTATAGCGCCAATCTGTTCCAGTCCGGCCCCGGCCAGCCTGCCGGACTATCAGCAGTCAGTCAGACGGTGACGCTAGCAATGTGTGTGCCCCAGTCGGTAAACAACCCGCTACCATTAACCAGAGAGCGACCCGGCAACGCCGGCATGCAGCCGCCTGACGCAGCCTGATGGGGCAGCTGGCCCCGACCGGGAGCTGGGCTAGCCCAGTACAGACCGGTGGGGCAGCTGGCCCCGACCAGGATCCTACCCCGTACCGACCCAACCCGGTCACCCGGTGGGGCAGCTGAACCAGACCAGGACCTGAGCTAGCCATCGAGTGCATAGAGACTTCAGAACTATACCAATATGAGGAATATCTGTCACCCTGTCTGTAGAAAAATATTGCACAAACAAACCTAAAAAGCATTGCGGCATTCAATTTTGACCACACAGAATGAGCGAGCAAAGAAGTAGGTATATAAATTCTAATAAGACCAACGAAAAGAGACTTCTCTATGAAATCTGGCGAGGGCCGAACACTGCACGAACGTCGAACGCTGTCACAAATGATGAACAGGCCAAATAGCCCCGTCCGAGGAATCAGCCTCCAACCTATTTTCCAAGAAGGCGGACAATAAGAAGCGGCATGCCACGGCGGAGCGCAGGGACATTGACAGGCCGGGACAGGTATAACTATTAGCGGACAATTGAGCGGTGCACGGCGGTGCAGTGGGACATTGACAGGCGGGGACAGGTGTATTAGCGGACGATTGAGCGGTGCGCGCCGGTGGGAGGACGGAGACACTGACAGGCGCGGACAGATATACTAGCGGACGATTGACCGGAACACGCCGGTGGGAGGACAGGCGCTCGTTGGCCGAGTCGCCGGCCGCGGAGTCGGCGGAGTCGGCGAGTGGCGCACAGCGGAGGCGATCGAACGGGGGCGGCCCGGGGGTCTGTCTTGGGTCCGTGGCGGGTCTATAAGTGTGACAGACTAGTGACGGGTTTGTGACGGGTTTATGACAGCAGCTATGACCGAATGACCAGCCGTCACGCCCGGGACCCACTCTGAAGCCTGACCGTCCCGCCCAGGTGCGTGTACTGATCGAGCCACGACAGCGAGCTCCATCGCCACAATCAATCGAATCACGCACGGAGGGAGGCAGAACCACAGGGACTTCCGATCATCCAACTCCCAGCAGGGCTGGCGTGCCAGTCACGTGAGCTATCCAATATGCTGCTCCAGATGAGACGTCCTGAGGTCTTATCACGGAGGGACCGGCGGAAAGGAGACGGAAGTAGCGCCTAACATACGCGCAATGAAACAGCAGGGGAGCGCTTTGTGTCTCTATTTGCCAAACAAGGATCCCCACGCCGGCAGGGCAGTTTGACGGGAGTTAATGATACCGTATCTTATTCACGACATACGAGAAGTAAAAATATATGGATAGGTGGTAATACCGATCCCAACCGATTGGTATACGGCGTAAAAAGTTGTTCAATCACCAACGAACACATTGAAAGACCAGAGGCCAGTTTTACAAACAGAAAAAAGCCGCCTGCCGGAATTTTTTGCCTAGAGATCGCTTCACATACGGAGCGTAAACGGTAAAGCCTTATTCGCTTACGTGCCCATCGCGTTTACGCTCCATGTGTGAAGCGGTCTTTAGTTAAAAAAGTCCGGCAGGCGGCTATTTTTCTGTTGGTACAACTGGCCTGTGAACGGAGGCCACCAACCTGGATAAAAGCATAGTTCTGCCATCCTTGGGAGTCTTTAAGCCACTACATAAAGTCCCCAGAATTGGCGACTGTGCGCGGACTCTCTAGGTCTCTACGACCAAGGTCGGTCCGAGACCGGAGCTGGAAGCCGAGGTCAGGCCTCAATCTGGCCAGGCCGGGAGAGGGTCGGCCGTTCCGGCAGTCGGCACGGACACGCCATTCCACTCACGCTGACGTGCACCTTTGGAGGAGCCGCCGGCGGCTGTGGCGGGGAGGACCAACGAGGTCGGTCTAGTCTCCGACAGCAGAAGGCCTGAACAGCAGATGCAAGGATACAACGGAGGCGAACCCAGGCATGCCAGTCCATGAGTAATTGAGTAGTCCATGAGTCCATGAGCCAGTCCATAACCTTCACCATTCGCGCGAAAACACAGCCGATTCGAATGATACATAAACAAATGCTGCTGCTCACTGATGTTAGTTGTCGGACTTTCGTCCCCGTCTTGAGTTGAGATGTTAGTTTCACAACGTTTCGGCCAGTTACTTCTCCGGCCGTCGTCAGGTGTTCTTTGGCCCTTAGAAGGACCTGGATGTTGGTGGCGTTGCGCCGTACTAACACCTAACACCTGCGCCGTACTAACGCCGTACTAACACCTCGTCTCAAGCATTCAGAAGAAATGCTGCTGCTGTTTACAAACGAACACGCCTATGGATACAAGGGAAAACCCATCCACCTAAACCAGCTGGCGCTTCAGTGATCAGAACTGCAATCTGACTCGAGACTCGGGGTTTCCAGCCACAAAATTCGCAGACGTTTTCTCTGACGTACTACACCTGGCGATCGTTTGATGCATATGTGTTTCAAACTTGTGTGCTGGTCTGCTGTGCTATGATTAAGGGAGGGGAAAGGAATGCAGTCCCTCCTGTGACTTCCCTCCCACCCATCCCATCGTGTACTCACCAGCGGCATGACGAGGTACTGGGTGATGACGCCGATGGCCGGTCCGACGGGCCGCAGCAGCGACTGCTTGATGACGGCCAGGTCCAGCGTGCAGCCCATGTTGACGTACGTCAGCGACACCAGAGTGGCCACCGAGTAGGCGAAGATCTTGTCCAGCCGGCGGTTACTGCGGACCACGCTGACCGCCAGCTCGGCCTCGCCACTCTCCGGGACAGCAGGGCCGGCGGGAGAAGCGGAGCCGGCGGGGGAGGGGGCGGCGGGCGGCGAGACCCGGCCGCCCGACACGCGCACGCTCGTGTAGCCCAGGTGGGCGCCTGTGAGGTTGAAGGCGCGCCACACGTCCTCGGGTTGGTCGAGTCGGAAGACGATGTCGCGCGGCTCGACCGTCACCTGGCCCGAGTCGTCCAGCGGGTCTACCCGAAACTGGTACTCGCCCGGCGCCAGGTCGGCGAACTCGACCCGCACAGAGGTCGTGTTGCCCTCCATCAGCTGCTCCACCTGGCGACACGGGACGGTCAGCGGGGTCAGCACGCGGCCGTGGGATTGGGAAGCGGGCCATGCCTCCACCAGGTCTTGACCTAGGGCATGAGACGGCCTTCTCTGGATTATGGCACAAATCAGTCACCGCCGGGTTGACGGCGGCTGACGACCAGTCAATAGTTCAGATCCCTAGTAGGCAAAGGGCATAGTAATGGTTTCTTTTACGAATCACACCCACGCAGGGTTCGCATTTGCTGAGTCCATACTGAGTCCAACGACATCAGCGGGACGGCCCCACTAGGCCCACACCAGGTGCATTGTATGATCTCCGCGGTGCGAGTTAGACGGCAAACACCGGGGGCTGCCGGTGGTTCCCCACGCGCAAGGCGTCACAATGTAGCACTACTGACTCATTCTGCCGTCACAGACGCGCGGGGTCGACAATGCAGCCGATCTTCCCTCCCTACAGTGGTGTCTGATGTGAATGGTTTTTGCATGACTAGTTGGTGATTTGCTTAGAATACCGATGGTATCGAATACAGAAGGATGAGGTATCACACTGAATAGGCTTATTTTAGGCCGGTACTTAACTCGCTGTCAGGACCATTAGTCATCCGACATAATGAAATCGAGCCGCTCGCTCTCTATTGCTCAACATTATACGAACGAAACCCCCACATCCGATTGGCAATTCATGGCGCATATACGCAATCACACAATCGCATAACGGCGAGTGTTTGGGGATGCGTCATGAAACTACGATAGTAAGGTGCCCATCAGATATCAGCGATCCAAAGACATTCTATATCGTGTCCGTCACTAAACCATCCCCCTCCCAACACAAGCATGAGTCACGTAATAGTAATTTGTCATCAAAACACCTCAGTTCGGATAGCATAGCGAAGGATATCAGCCACCGACCAAACGATACTCGCACTATCACATCCCTCCATCCCCAGCGCCGGGAGAGCCGGCATCCTTCGCTCTCGGTAAGTGCCCCATCATCCCCGCGCTGGCCGAGTGCAGCTCTGACTCGCCTCTCACCTTGGCCGGGTCAAAGTGGATGGCGCTGGCGGCAGCGGAGGCGGCGCCGCAGCACGCCATCCACAGCGGGATGAGCGCCATCAGGTACATCAGCACCAGGTGCAGCGGCCATAGGGGACACATCCCGCTGTAAAGGACAGACTGCCGTCAGACACATCAGAAGGAACAGACACAGGGGACACATCCCGCTGTAACAGACTGCCGTCAGACACACCAGACAGGACAGACACACCAGACAGAACAGACACAGCGGACACATCCCGCTGTAACGGACAGACTGCCGTCAGACACCAGACAGGACAGACACAGGGGACACACCATGACCAGACAGGACAGACACAGGGGACATACCAGACAGGACAGACACAGGGGACACATCCCGCTGTAACGGACAGACAGTCGTCAGACACACCAAAGGAACAGACACAGGGGACACACCAGACAGGACAGACACAGTGGACACATCCCGCTGTAACGGACAGACAGTCGTCAGACACACCAGACAGGCCAGACACAGGGGACACATCAGACAGGACGCCGCCAAAGAGTCATATCATAGTGTGAAAGTACAGCAGGAAACCTACGTAACAGAACAGTTACGTTGCCTTCACACAGTCCTGCATTCGTTGCATGCCCATTGCCCATTGCCCATTGCACTTTTAGGTTTGTGTGCAATTACGACAGCTTGGTGAAAAAAGGACTACAGATCTAGATACTCTATTGTAGAGAGTGAAAGTCGATCAGCAGCCCACGACCAACGCCTCGACCACTTTTTTCCAGAGTCGTGCGAACGCTGCCAGCGACGGCGTGGGTCCACTGAACCGCACAGGCGGCGACAGCGAAAGCCAAGGAGCAGAAAACGCTGTCATTGTTACACAGCTCGCTGAGTTTCGCTTTCAACGCCGATGAAGATATTCTAGGAAAGTTCTGCTTCAATTTCGCACCTAATCACGCAGAATGGCTTGCATTAGGACAATCTTCGGCGCACAAATCAGCCAGTCAGACATGTGCATCAGGCTATGTCAAAGTCACTTTGACTATCTCCTTCCAATCAACTAAACAATTATCAACTATCTGCACAATCAGTCAATATCGCTCGAGTTTCTGACCTCCGGTGACCGTGTCCGTTTTGCGTCTGTCAGCCCATCCCGTCCCCACCATGACCCGTAACCTCGACCGTCCACTAGACAGGGACGGGGTGCGACGAGTCGCAGGCGGGCGGCGGCCAGGGACAGAACCCGCGCACCTGACGGCGAGCGGCCAGGGCCGGCGCCAGCCCGGGCCCCGTCACGCTCTCTCTCTCCGGCAGTCATGGCGCCGCGCCTGCCGCTGGACATTGCCTCACACTTTCTCCCCGTCGGCAGTGAGCCGAGAAAACAGCCTCCAGTCGGGCCTCCAATACCGTCAGGAGCTGGGAATCGTCAGACCGCTACTCAAATACCAGATTTCATACCAGCGGCCCTTCGGGGAAGGAAATCATTACACCGATACCAATACCATTTAGGCATTCGGACAAATCCACACAGACCTAAGATGCCTAATAAGGACCCCTCCTCCCCCAAAAATACCACATCGCTAGGGCAAGATACCTACTTACGTAATCCTGCGAGATTTCCCCTCTCCCACCTCCTGAAACCCCAGGTAGGTTCTCAGCACCACACCTCTAGTCTGTCTGCCACGCCTCCCTGCCGATCTGACAGCACCCTCCCCCGCTCAGTCTTGGCCGGGGTCTCAGTCAGCTGACAATCCTCTGGCACCCAGTCACAGGTCACAGGGGTCCGTTTGGCACCGGTCGTCTCCGCACAGCCCGCGGGGCGGTGACATGCCCGTTACGTAAGCACGGGGCGCTCGATCGCCGCCGACCGACGGGCAAGCACACGGTCGCACGGCCAGGCAGGGCAGACGATCTGACGACCGTATGGGCGAGCACATGGCCGGGTAGACGGTCAGACGGCTAGAGGGGCGGGAAGGCAGACACAGACGGCCAGACAGACGGGCATGAGCTCGACCAGACAGGCGATAAGACGGTCAGACAGACGGCCGGAGGGGCGGACAGGCAGCAGGCAGACAGGTACGGACAGAGGATCGGCGAATCCACCACCAGATCATACAGAGTAAGCTGCCATACGACCCTTGGGAAATAAAAGTATTCCCTATGAATCATTTTCAGCCCAAACCGACTACAGAGTACAGACGGTGGAAGAAGGTAAATTTGCGGATAATTGCACCGTATTAGGGAAGTTCATTGTAAAGAGCAGAGTACCAGTCTTTTATTCTCTTATGAGTCATAAACCAGTCGGAACTGTGATAACGAAACCGCGCCCACCGGAGACCGGTGCAGGATTCGGAGGAAACCAGTTAGATGCTAACAGGTTACCGCAGATTCGGGTCACCCTTCTCGGGGGATCTACTGGCCATGCTTCTAAACGGGCCTGGATCATGGAAGGTCTCCAGATTTGCACCGTCACACCAGACTGTGCGAATGGCACGTAACCTCTCGCCCTCGATCCCCCCCCCCTCCCCACCGGTGGCCGTGGCGCCCGTGACCTTGAAGACCGACCCGCTGCCGCCTCCAGTACGGTGGGAGGCCCACAGCTCGGCCAAGACCGGCAATGGCGGCCCATACGGATCAGAGTACGACACGGCATGGCCAGACAACGCTGCTGCGACGATGCTCGAGGTTTTCCTAGAGAAAAGCTCGGGACATTTCCACAGCACCTACTTCATGATCATTTACCACCATACATTTCAGGATTTTTCCAGGGTTCTGGCTTGCCCCACGATCTCAGTTATGGGTTCAGGGGAGTCCCATGGGTTTCATGTCCAGTTTTTTGTTTCACAGTTGCACCTAAACGTGTTTTTCACGGTAGTTCAGGATCCTCCACGGCCACGGCTGAACGGTATTCTGCAGTAAAATCCAAGGCTGCGGAGTCGGAGTCGGTCGCAGTCGACAGTTCTGACCGGAGTCGGAGTTGGAGTCGATTTTGGAAACCGGAGCCGAGGTCGGAGTCGAAGTCATAATACCCATGGACTCCGCAGACCTGGCAGGGCTGCAGACTGTGCAGAGTCAGAGTCGGAGTTGGAGTCTGTCGAAGTCGATAGTTCTTCCCGGAATCGGTGTCGGAGTCGGGGTTGGTCTTTGGAAGTCGGAGTCAGAGTCGGAGTCGGAATCACCGAAAATCCATCAACTCCGCAGCCCTGGTCCGTACTACGAACATACTGCACAATCTTGCGGACGTTAACTGACCTGTCACGAAACAGTCGAAAGTTTGCATGAAAACGATTCAACCCATGTCATGGAAGTAAATACCAACAGAATGCCTAACCGAAGCCCAGTGTTCCGACCAGAAACCCGACAACGGTCGGATGATACCATTGAACGGCTGCCTGCGTGTCGAGTTACCCACAGGTGTGGGTATTAGACTCCTGGGACTGGGGGACTCGGATGTGGCCAGCCACCGTCGGACGTGGTAGGGTAGGTGGGAGTCTGACAGTCGACACACTTGTCACGGTAGTGGACTGAGTGCAACAAGGATGGGCTGACGGGGTTCAATGGAAGCGCCAACAACAGTTTACGAATAAAAAGAAAATGTATTCAACTAATGTGGCGTAATAAATATGTGGCCAATTACCCACCCAATGATTGAGAGGAAACAGCCATTGCTTCACAACGGATAGCTAATTTTGATGCTGCGTGGTCAGCTATCATTATATGTCGCTATGTATAAATATTTAATATCATTGCGTCATTGGTAGAAACCACCGTGCGTTACGAAACAAGCATCGCACCGTCAGCCTCGCTACGATATAATAACCAGCCCAGCGCCCGACGAATCCGGTACTTACGATGCAAACATCATCTCTGCCTCGTCTGCAGCCCTCCGTGCCGGTCACTCTATCCTCCTGCTCGTACACCTCTCTCCACTCTCTCTCCTGGGTCTGACGGCTCGCTCCCGTCCGCTCGGTCCCACACTCGCCGGCCTTGCACTCGCCGGGCGACTGAGCCGACCTCCCCGGCGCGGCGCGGCGCTGGAGTGCCGCCCCCGGCAGTACCTCACCTCACCGAGTGGCCAGCCTGCCGGCGGGTGGCTGCAACCGATGCCAGATAGGCACGGCAGGCAGGCAAGGCGAAAAACAGGCAGCCCGAGGAGCCTGCCTTGCAAATCTCAACCCATGCCAAAATAGCTTTGAGAGCGCCTCGTCGCAAAAAAATAATGTCCAAAATAACGTACTGGACGTAACAGTGCGTCCCTGTTGCACCACCCACGGGTTTCCACACCCCGTGGGCCACACCCGTAGCCCCGCCCAGATCATACAGCTCCCTGAGGCAGCACAGTTCAGCGTTACGACCCCACCCATACACTGCCTAGTCCCAACGGCATGATGCAAGAGCTCGCCTACGTCAGAACTGCTGACCTCAGGACGGATCTGCACCTGAGCGTGGCTCCCGGCACCGACACAGCTGCCGTCAGCAGGCAACTGGAGCAGTTGAACGAGATACAGGAGGCTAAAAGCCATTGCTCCCAGTGCAAGAGCGCTGAGCCAGCTGAGGGAGACTTTAACCAGTCATTTCTAGCCTGGGCTCATAGTTACCGAAGGACGTGACTTGATCTAAGTACCCGCAGAGATTTGCATTGAGAACTATTTCATAGAGGGATTTTATGGTAGGCCCGATGTTAAGAAATTGCTTTGCTTCAGGCTTCAGCTTTGAGGCAAAGCGCACGCTGTTTATGAAAAATACAGTGCAGCTCCACATTGCCTGACTTTGTCGACCACCCTGGGCGCACCAATCCGAGCTTCTTTACGTGACTGCAGCCACCTAATCGGCGTCCATTCCCGTGAGAAACGCACACTGCTGGGCAGTGGGCTGCCCATTGATGAAGGGTGAAAGGTGTGGGATGTCCCTAAGGGGTTCTCCACTCTCCACGGACCGCCTCCAGGTCACAGGACCGCTGTAGTGCACCAGCACGGCGGCGCGCCATGTCAGGGTGGAGATTCGCCGAGAGAGGGGTGTGTGGGGAGGGGAGACACTAGGCTAGGCAGTGAGGCAGGAGATGTGACGCATGCTACCTATGACGCCCCCATGACCGGGACGAAAGGAACGGAAGATACGGGAGGGTACCTATTCAACGAATCCAACCCAAATTCGGAGGGCGGACTACCAGAGGGACCGGCATTACACCACTTGTTACTCAATTGCCGCTCTCGTGGCCGTAAGTCCGTGCCTACCCCGACATTTTCTCGCCAGGGATGGTCAATTTCAGCCAGGACCTGGCTGAAATTGGCTCAAACCATGGTTTGAAATGGTTGGCATAAATTCATTTATTCCTATGCCACACTGGTTTTAACAACTCTCCTTCAGGAACATTACAGACATTTACAACTAGTTTTGTCATTAAGCAATTGTCATGGCTGACTGCACTGCTTCAATGCACAAAATATAAAATATTCAAATTAAGAGGGGATTACAATGTATTTTTTCGGCTTACAGGTTATGATGCTGATTTGGAAAGGTTGTTAGACCAATGGGAGGTAAGCTATATGTATTTCCAGATACCCTAACATTGCTTGGTATGAATCTTGAGATCAGTTTTGACCAAATTAATCAATTTAATGTAAACAAATTGTAGAGGAACACATCTGTTTGGTCTCGCAGTCTTTCAGAATGCTGCGCTGGCCGGCTGACCCATGGGAACGATGACACAGTGGTACAGCATGACAACCAGGTGCTTACACATGGCACCCTGCACTCGCTCAGTTGCTGCACAGACTATGCCCAATTACCATACATAAATTAAATTAATACTACCTACCTACGTCATGAATTTCAGACCTGATGAAAGCCAAAGTGTCTAAAGCACTAAGCAAACTGTCAAACTCAAATTCATGACTAGACAAGTTTCTAGTCCTACCTATAGTTTTGTGTATTGTGTGGTAATTGAGGTGTGTTACACCGACATTCATGTACCTAATTTGTCTTGATCTCAACAGCTTTGTTTTTGCAGCTGTTCGAAATCTACCTACATCTGTCACATCAAAATAAGCCATGCAATAATGTAGCAGAAATTGATCATGTAACTTCATCAAGAGACTAGAGAGTATGTCAAGATTCTCATCCTGAAGATGTCAAATTGATGGGAGTAAAGGAAGTCAAAGTGAGCATTTCGCACTCCTTTTTTATTTTTTAGAAATCAAAATGTTGTCCAAATAAATGAATGGGTGGCTATGGGCCACGCAAAGCATTGCTTATTGCAAATGACACCTCACTGAAAATTTAGGACAAGGAGCTGGAGCTACCTCCGGTGTTCATCACAAGGTGCAGTAGCAGTGGAACAACTTCAGTTAAGGGGGGGGGGCAGTGGCACTGCCGACTTTTGGTCCCATTCCTTCCATGCAACGCCCATAGGGCTAATGTTAAAATGCCAAAATCAAAGGGGGGCATCCAGTGCCCTCCCCGTTCGTTCCGCTGCCTATGACAAGGTGAGAAATGCACTGGCCCACAAGTGGCCTAAGTTGAAGTACCTAATGCTCCCTTAAAATAAGTAAAAAATTGGGAAATGGGCTATTTATGTAAATAAAGTTTAACATGACAAAATTGAAACCACAAACTTGGAATTCACTTTTCACACCCTCCCGAACCTACCTTGCGTCAGTGCAGCCTTTATTGAAGCAGCAAAACTCGTTGGCACATGCGTAACTGTTCCTTCAATGATTTTCAGTCAAATTCCAATTCGGTCCGATTGAATGTGGATTTTAATTTTTATCACCTCTTGGCTCTCATTCGTGCACAAAGTCCAAAGACAAAACCGCACACCGCAAGCGCCACAAATGCGCCATCGAATGCATGTCAAGGTCGCTGATAAAAGTGAGATTTCAGTAAAACTGCAGTAAATCTGACGTCATAGAAAATGCTAGCCGTATCCGAGCTCGTTTTTGCTAAAATTGTGTCGTGTATCAGGCAACTCGGCTTCAAACAGCGTAAAATATAACAGCGTAAGCATATCGCATTGAACTTGGTCTTGATTGGGCACAACTAATGCAAATCCGTGGTTCCCTAACGCCTAACGGTGACAGCGGCAGGCGCAGCGCGCCAAAATGCTAAGCGTGCCCGGCGTCGGATAATTCACTTCTACAATCAGCAATCCATCCGATTTCAGCGCATGACAGTTGATGTTCTGCACGAGACGCCCAGCCCACAGGCCACAGGACAATATGCAATAGACGGCAAGGCCCTATATACGGTAGACGGTAAATGCCGGCCGACTAAAATTTGACGTCCCGTATGTACAACCCTCGGCTCCATGTGCTGCGTTGATCATTTGGTCAGCAATACATTCAACTGACGATTTGCATCCCACGTATCCGCATCCTGACCCCCGTCCCCCCCCCCCTCCAACACACACATTGGCCGCCGCGTAACACATGTGTTTATTACACAGAGCAGGTAAGTACACTTAACGACCCCACGCGCTACGCCCGATGGAAATGGCAGGTGACTCGAGTCACTCCGCCGCCAATGACTCGAGCCACTGCACCGCTGATGACTCGAGTCACTCCGCCGCCGGTGACTCGAGTCAGTCATGGTTGGCATCGAGCTGACGACACGGGTACGGCACCCGCCACTGGTCAGGTTCAGCGTCACACGTGTCTGAGCTAACGAGATTTCCCCGCACTTTTGAACAGCTGCTAGACAGACCGGCGAGCCGGGCGGGCGGGCACAGAGACAGGCGGCCGCTCCCCGCCGTCCCAGGACCGCACCGGCGCAGCGCGAGCACCTAACTACAGCGTACTTGACCGCTCCGTGCTAGACACAAACCAGCCGAACTTCACACAAAGGCACAATGTAATAAAAGGGCAGACAGCGATAAGGAAAGAACAGGCAGCTTTTGTCAGCCTTCCGACTCTACTGGTGAGACGCTCAGCGTGCTCCCTGAAGCATTCGTCGGTTATCCCTGGCGGGCGTTATCCGGGCCCGCGGCGCGGCGCTGGCCGGGCGCCGGCGCCGCGGGCACTGGCTGGGCTCGGGGGCAGCAGCGGTAGCATCACAGCCGGTCGCGGCGCCGGCGAGCCGCGACCAACACTCCCTCCCCCTCCCGATCTCCTCAGAGGTCCTGGCGCCTGACCCGGCGAGCGGTGCCGAGCGAGCACAGCGCCACTGGCGGCCGACAGTCGAACTAGACATTGTGGATGGCGAGCCGGAAACAGTCGTGCTGGCAGAAGAAGCCCTGGCCGGTGGGCACTGGTTTGAGGACGAACGTCTGAGAGAAGCCGTGCACGGGGTCGTCGTCCGTCTGCAGCAGAGGGGGCAGCGCGTCAGGAGGGTGGCACAGAGAGGGGGTCAGACTGGCACAGATGGCGGCACAGAGGGCAGGGACACAGGGTCCCGAAAATGTCGGCGTAGGCACCAGATCCACGGCTTCAAGGGAACGGCAAATTGAAATAAATCCATTCTTCTAACACAAGCTGAATTGCCACATATCAAAAACTTGACTTCAAAACAATTTGAATATAAAACGAACACATTACATGGAATGATGATGCCTAGCTCTGGCTCGTCAGAATTGTTTCGCCTCACCTTCCAGTGATCAACAATAACCGATGGATTTGATTCTAGTCAACGATTACATCTTACAATACACCATATTTCTGGCCGTTATTAAAAACCGAATGTATCTGATCAATCTGCGTTGCGTACGAAATCAGTCGCATGTCAGGACTGCCTAAGTGTCTAACCGTCAACTCACGCACCTTGAGCTGTCCGACGACGTTAATGAGGATGCCTCCATCGAACATGGGCTGGCAGTCGACAGTGGTGACGATGTGCTGAATCTTGGTGAACGTCAGCGCCTGAAACAGAGACACGCAGGCGTCAGTGGTGGGGCCGGCACAGCCGCGGGCTTCGGCCGCTGACTGATCACCGTGGAGAATTAAATCGGGACGGAATCAGGTGGGTAATGGCCGAGAACTGGAACCAGGTAGGTAATGGCCGAGAACTGTGCTCACTTCTGGATTAACAGTGTGCTTAGATTAGCGTGCTTACACTGTTGCAACATCACCCCATGTGTTGCGTATCCGGAATAGCAAGAGCGTCACAAACCGGCTGACTCGTTCAGCTCTGGCATGCACAAAGTAAATAAACAGACCGCGCCTCCCGAAAAAGGCTGTAGCGCACTCACACAAAGTCCAATTGGCGAGAGGTAGTCGCTAAACCTTCAGCAAGTGTCACCGGTGAGCGAAACGCAGAGCATGCTACATTTAGGGGATTGTTGAAACCAAGGTGTTTTTTTTTTCAACAATGTCCGATAATACCGTAACATTCAGCGCAGTTTCCTATATGTAGGTGCTCTCCTAAACAATGCCACTGACTAGTTTGATTG